CCAACGAGCGCGCGCCCCCCCCCCCCCCCCCCCCCACGCAAGGAGGGTCACAGCCGGGTGTAGACCCACGGTGCCCCCGTGTTAGTACCAGCTGACAAACAGCCAGAGTCATTTACACCACTACATGATCAACAATCCAGTATTCCCAAGTGACAACATACACAGCTCCTCAGCACCAGGAGTCCATCCCTCCAGATACCAAGTGCTGCTTCGCACCTGCTGCTGAGAACAGTGATACCAGCAGCGCCAAAGAATCCATTTGGTTCCTCAGAACAAACAAATTATAGCTGGTTTATTTCAAGTGAGCTTTGGTTCCGTGTTAAAATAGCATGATTTGTCTTCTTCAGGGTTCAGAAAAGAAGTCTGACTTTAAGCTTAGACTACAGCAGCCTTCGAGAGACCCAGAAAGAAGAACCATGTAAGTTAGTCTGCACTTAAAAAAACACAAATGAAAAAAAGACACCCTGAAGAAGGTACCCCTGAACACATTCCCCCTTCCAAAGAATATTCCAGCTGACAGCTGCTGGTCCAAAATAAGTCCAGAATATAAGCAGTAGTACATGAAGTTCTGTCACTTGAGCTGAGACAGTAAACAATATGAACCATTTTCCCACATTAGTGCAGCAGTTGGTTGTTTTCTTTCTATATACAGTTTCATCCTCAGATGATGTTAGAACCTATTCAGAAAAAGAAGCAGAATTAGATTTGATATCACAGGCTCTTCTCCCAAGGAAAAGACAAGCAGCAAAGTTCACACCCATGGAACAACTGAAACATGTAGCCAGAGCTTCATCTTCAACAAGCAGCATTTGCCCTCCCAGAGAAACAAGCCCAAGTGATCAACAGCACCATCAGCACATTAAAATCACATTAACACTGCTCATATTTCCTTCTGCCACTTAGGACAGCAAGGTGCAATAAGGAACAATCCTTAGCATGTCCATGAGACCAGAGAGCAGAAGAGGTTGCACAGACAGTTCAGGCAAGGGAAAATCAACAAACCTGGCTCAGAGACAGTATTTATTCTGGCCCAGACACTTGCCTCTGAGGTTACACTCTGCCAGTACCAGCTCTGTGAGTGGTCTGGTTTCGCCTTGCTGCTCCGCTGCCCCTTCCGCCCCGAAATCCACCGCGGAAGCTGCGGCCGCGAAGGAACCGCCCGGACACCCCAAAGGTCTCCGTGTTGAGCTTCCTCTCCTCAGCCCACGTGGTGCGCCTGGAACTGAACACAACCACCTTCAGATGGAACAGGAACCCCACACAACCACCAGCTCCCCTGGCCAGGCAGCTCTGGGCACCCCACTCTGGGGGACTGGGCTGCCAGGGGAGGCAGCTGCAGTGACATGCCCTCACCAGCTCCTCTGCTACGCCTGGGGGTAGGGGTGACAGCTTCCAGGAGCTGCTGCCACCCTGGAAAACTAAAGGTGGGCCTAGAAAAGAGCTGAACACGGTCTAACTAGCACTTTAAATCTTGCCCTGTTTTCTTGAGAAGCACAAGCTCTTGACTCCAGTGAGGCCTCTCCAGAGGCATGGGAAGCCCAGTCCCAGCTGAGCTCAGACTGCTCCTGAGGCAGCTCCACAGAACCAGCACGTTCTGGCCTCACAGAGCCCCGAGCACCTCACAGCGCGCGCTCCGAGTGAAGCTCTGCTCAGGGGAAGCAGCAACGTTACCAAGGAGCTTCACAAGCTGACCCTAAAGGGATGTCTGACTGCACCAGGCAGCTGGGAACATCAGCATCAGCAGTGACAGACAGGCTTCAATACTCCTCGTATTTAACTTAACACACTTCCAGAGACAGACCTGACCTCCTGCACGAACTCCACACGCAGCTTGCTCCTGGCTGCAAGTGACAGCATCTCAGGGCAGCATGACCCTGGTGCCTCCTCCCACAAGGGAGATAAGGAATTTGTTTCAAATCAATGGGTTCAAAGTCAGTGCTGGGAAACAGAACTGGAAATTCCTGTATTATACTTCAGGGAAGTGTATAATCTGAAATCCTCCCTCTTTGTTTGATCCCACTACACCCAGCTTGGCTAGTGTCATTCGTGAGCCACCAAGCCCACAGCAACGCTCCCTTCTACAGACCATTTTGCCATCTTTCTTGCATTCTGATATTGTTT